CATATATGTACATACATACTTCTTCTGATACGCCTATTCGCGCGTGTAAGCGCTCGCTGTACCTTGACATATGCCATACCTCCGGCTTTATGTACCTTCTATATCCCAAACCCACGCACCCGCAATATAAAACTGATAGCACGAATCATTTTTCTGACCGCTATAAAATAGGAGTTGTGCATATACGCTGCATATACCTACACACGCACCCACTCATTAGAGTCGCGCCTGTGAGCTCAATTAGTTTGCACTGGAGGTCGTGCACTCACCCACCCAAGGGTTTTAAATGCGAGTATATAATATTCATGCACAGTCAATCGTACATATACGATATCCATACATATACACACACCTTAATACTAATCGTGCATATTGATATTGTTAGGTGGCTGTGGTCATACCGGCAGAGTGCATTGTGGCCCGTTGTGAGTTGTCGCCTGCGGGAGATTGGCAACAGGACACACAGACGGCTCTGTGGTCGGTGAATATAATACCAGGCAAACGTATGAGGATACCAGCTTACTTTGTATCTACATATGTATAGGCAATGTGTTTGTATATTTGTTGTTTGGTGTATAAAGAGGTGTATCTACACAATCGTGTTTCTTATTGTGTGCCACACTTTGCAGTGCTTCTGTACTGCTCTAATGAGTATCGGGCCAACGTATGATCGTACCAGAGTATTTGTGTTATATACAAGTGATCAGTATTTGTGTCAGTGCATATTTAGGTATATATAAATATATATATATGTGTGTGTGTGTGTGTATCCATGTATGTGTGTGTGTGTGTGTGTCTATATGTGTGTGTGTGTGTGTCCATGTGTGTGTGTGTGTGTGTGTCCATGTGTGTGTGAGAGAGAGAGAGAGTGTGTGTGTCCATGTATGTGTGTACACGTGTGTGTGTGTATTCGTTTTCCAAAATAACAATAGGACAGCGTATGATGGTACCGGGGTATTTGCGTTTATATAGATACTGTCGGTCTTGGTGTAAGAGGGAGTGCTGTGTTTCACATTGTCTGCTTCTGTAGATCCCCTATGGCCTACTGATATAATAATATATGGTCAATGTATGGTAGTTTCAGAGCATTTGTGTGGATACATGAATTATTGGCATGTGTGCAAGTTCATGTGTGGGTTTATATAATATGTATACACTCACTTCTCTCTTTATGTACTCTCGATATGGTCTGACAGTATATTACAGTGCAACTATATCTATCATATCTATCCGACCTTACCCATTTTTTTTTAACATTGGTACCAGCGGTTGTACTGTGGGCTCGCTTCACAACTGCCGGGGGGGAATTGCTACCTGCGCCTGTACGTATCCGCCTGAAAGGACGGGGCAACACTATGAGTGGAGTGCAATCACGAGTTGACCCATTTACCACTGGACTGTGGGTGGACAACCAATCACTAGTATACGAGACGGGCGAGTATATGATTAATCCTACTGTAGTGCAATAAAGATTTAGATATGTATGGAAACTAGCACATGCTCGACGTTGTGTATGCTTATACGAGACGGGCGAGTACATGATTTATCTTACTGTAGTGCAATAAAGATTTAGATATGTATGGAAACTAGCACATGCTCGACGTTGTGTATGCTTATACGAGACGGGCGAGTATATGATTAATCCTACTGTAGTGCAATAAAGATTTAGATATGTATGGAGACTAGCACATGCTCGACGTTGTGTATGCTTATACGAGACGGGCGAGTATATGATTAATCCTACTGTAGTGCAATAAAGATTTAGATATGTATGGAAACTAGCACATGCTCGACGTTGTGTATGCTTATACGAGACGGGCGAGTATATGATTTATCTTACTGTAGTGCAATAAAGATTTAGATATGTATGGAAACTAGCACATGTTCGACGTTGTGTATGCTTATACGAGACGGGCGAGTATATGATTTATCGTACTTTAGTGCAATAAAGATTCAGATATGTATGGAAACTAGTACATGCTCGACGTTGTGTATGCTTGGAAATTGTTCACTGATTCTGTGGAATTGCAGAAGAGCTCCTGTTGGTGAGTGAGTAGATTAAGAAGTTATTTAGGAGGAATGTGTTTGAAAGCACTGCCAGTATCACTTTAGCAAGTACATCGAAAGAGATTGCGTTATGTAGAGTAGTTTTAAACTCTTGACACACCTATTGGTTTGCTATCTATTAGTTTACTATCGAATGCGAATATGATTGAAACTATCCGATTTAAAAAAGAATTGAAATTACATTAAATACCCATTGATTCATACAATGAAGAATAGGAGAATCCAGACCAAGCAGTTGCACTTGAGATTCGCGCGAATCAAATCAATGCTGTAGGGTAGGTTCAATGCAGTCAATTCCAATTCCTCTAAAAATTAAGCAGACATTGATAATCACGCATATGGACTGGTAGGCTAAACAAAGAGATGCAATGATCATCGTAGCCACATAGTCGCTTCACCCTTCACGAGGATACATCAACACTCGCATTTAGCCTATGTGTGCCAATCTGTTGCTAACTATATCAGCCACAGCGTTCATTGTTCACATATTGAGCTTCATTTGGTGTATGTTACGTTTCATTTTACTATACTAAGTTGCGAATTATTCTTTTTCCTACTACCCTTCTATATGAGGCCATTCTTCCCTTGGTATCGTCAGCACTGTTTTCCCTTATTCGCACCAAGGTATGGCATGTGTTCTCTATGATACCTTCAGGTCTCCTGTAGTCGACAGACTATGGCTCCAAATATACCCACAATCTACAAGCACCTTGCGATTCGTGCTCACTATTCGCCTTTCGCTTATTCTATTTCCGAGCACCGATCAATGCTGGAGAGGTCTTCCCTATAAACAGAGATTCCTCCGAATCCCGCGCAAGCAATAGTGGCGCATAATCGCATAAACTTCTTCAGCCGACAAATTGTCGCTCGACACTTCTTCGATCAGCTACACTCTGCACACACAGCAATCAGGGACCTCGAGCCCATCTTTGTTGAGCTTGACAGGGGTTTCCGATACATCTTCGCCCGCACTGACACCACCATTGTTGGCGCCATTCTCTTCTGCATTCAAAGCTACCTCGTTGTTGGTTTCTTGGCGTCTGTTCATGTGTGTGAATAACGGTTCGAGGGGCTCATTTTCGTCTTCTTCCTCCTCGGGGCAAGCGCAGCATTTGATTTTCGGGTCGGTGGCAAGTACAATATCTGCTGCTCCTTCCTCTATTTTCTCGTCAAGATTACCGTTTCCATCGTAACCGGTGGCCAGTTGTGTGCAACTGCTCTCCACGTGTATCATTCCTGTAGAAAATAAAATAGTTCCTCGATTGTTTAGTTTGATCAAAAGGGGCTATAGAATCTCTGTGCTGTATTCGAACGGTATATACGAATCTGAAATGTAGTCGGAGACCAGAGCTCGCGTATTGTTACAGATTGCCACGAAAAAGCGAACCTAAAGCAAGTTAGGGCAGAAGAAATGTAAGTACTTTGCACGAATAGGCATGTAGAATCGAAAGATATTAGTAGCATATGATAAGACCCCTACTCGGTGCATAGGGGTGGGAGTTATAGTATAAAAACTACGCCAGGAGAATAAAATGTAAAACTAAGGAAGTTGCTAAGAAGTGACTCTTGTGATCATCTTCTTTTGCTGCCAGTTATGTATGTTTGCAACAATTATTTGATATATGAGCGCTATGTGAATGTTTTGATCGATTCTTTGGACCGGGATTGAGGAAGTTGATCAAGCAGAGACCAGTTCCATGTTCTGATATTACCAGACAGATTGAGGTGCGATTAGTTAGCGAGAGAAAGATCCATACCTATTTCAGAGTCTACTCTAGCACAGTCTCCAGCTCTATAGTCGTAGGGAATAATCATGAAGGCCTCCCCTGAGCAGTCCTCACTCTGATGCAGCTCTGTATCAAATCCTTCATTGCTCCCGTCTGCGTTGACTCGTGCGTAGAAGCCTTCCTGGATCACTTCAGTCGAGGGCACAGGTACACACGAACCAGTGGGCTCTACGGCAAACTTCAGCCACAAGTCGTGTGGGCCACAAGTCTCACCGCCTATATAGAGACTGTATTCTAATTCTATGCAGCCTAATTCCACCGCTCTACCACACACGCTCGACAAACTGAGAGCTAGCCCATATGCCAGTGACGTTTTGGAGATCCTCATAACTGAAAAGGGATGGTGGGTACTATAGTTGTAAGTTGATTGTAGAGTGTGTTTGTTCTACTATGCTATACGATTCTGTGTTATTGAGCTACCCTAAGACTTCTTTGAATTCTATTTTCCAACTTGTATGGGTGATATGCGATTATGTCTTAAGATTTCAACTGGAGAAATTGTGATCGTCATTTCGGAAAGTGAATAGCTTTTAAAAGTATATCAGTACAATAGGCGGATACATGTGTCAAACTTTAATTAAAACTTATAATTAAAATTAAAGGTAATTGTATTTTAGTTACGCAGCGGAATTTCATTTAATGCTCTGAATCTCTCTCGCCTCTGTGTATGTTGGTGAAGACTAGTGACTAGTCACTACTAGAGCGAGAGAGTAGAGAGACACGCAGGAGGCAGTGATGCATCATTTGCTTTGTACCGTATTTCCTATTTACACAGTTTAACACTGTGTACAGCCGTACGTTGTACACTCGTACAGCCGTACACAGTTGTGTACAGTGTACACACAAGACGAGAATTTGTTTTATAAAATAAAACAAAATGCTCACACCTGCCAAATATGTAAAATACCAGGGCCCCAGCGGATTTTTTTCTACTCTCGGGCTCTTGGCTTACATGTATTTTACTATTTTATTTTAAAAAACATGATACTAATGTAGCTATTTAAAGCCTGAAGCTGGACTCTGGACTCTGGACTCTGGAGTCTGGACTCTGGAGACCAACAGTGTGTGAGGCTCTGAGTCTGAGGACTGTGAGAGGCAGAGCTGAGAGGCTGGGACGCCTGGGAGCCTGGGACGCATGTACATGGAGTGCTGACAGCCTGACACTGCTGACATTTGTTGTGTGTGAGTGCTGAGTGCTGAGTGCTGAGTGCTGAGTGCTGACTGCTGACTGCTGACTGCTGACTGCTGACTGCTGACTGCTGACTGCTGACTGCTGACTGCTGACTGCTGACTGCTGACTGCTGACTGCTGACTGCTGACTGCTGACTGCTGACTGCTGACTGCTGACTGCTGACTGCTGACTGCTGACTGCTGACTGCTGACTGCTGACTGCTGACTGCTGACTGCTGACTGCTGAGTCCTGAGTCCTGAGTCCTGATTGTTCACTGCTGAGTGCTGACTACATATTTACAGACTGACGAGTGAGTGTGAGCCTTTGTAATGAGACCGTACATAGACTTCTGTGGTTAGTTGGTCACCCCTGGGCCCTGGGCCCTGAAGCCTGATGAGTGAGAGTCCCTGTCCCCTGACGGCGGACGCCTACATACAACGGTCAGTCGGTCACATATTGACTGTAGTTGAGACTGCATAGAGATTACTCGATTAGACAGACAAGAGTCCTAAACTATGAAACTTAAAAAAATGCTGTGGCGTTTTTATAACCCAGATTCATTGGCCTGCTGGATTTGTCGCTTACCCAATGAGATCCTACGTTAAAGTCGAGTCCCCAAATAGTTAAATGTATTGAGTAATCAGAATGACAGAAATCACTCACATATATTAGTTTTTTGTTTACAGTGTCATTTGTGATTAGTCATCAGCCAATGAGCCATCACTAATCACTCGTCACTCATCAGTCATCAGGCGTCAGTAGCTGTCACTCGATCACGACTTCAAGTCTAAGGGGTAGATTTTTGGCTTACAAAAAGCAATAGTGAAGTGTGGCCGTGTGGGGACTCTCTCGCTAGAGAGAGAGGTTATGTACGATAGTAAGTATGGCCTTCTGGAAGACCGTAGAATCGTAGACGCGACAGAGAATATCAAAATCAAATGTTTTCACTGCCACCAGAGGATTTTTAATTCTCCAAGGGGATGTATACTGTATAGGGAAGTGAGATATTACGTATCCTACATATCCACTGAACCAATACCCAAAATACTAACAGCGGATTTTTTAAGATAAGCAGCATAACTGCGACAACCAGATCCTTTATTTAATTGCATAGGAGCTGGGCAGCTGACAATTTGTGAACTGAGAACAATCAATTTCTCGATTTAGCTTGGCAGGAAAACATCGAACCATTCGTTCTCAGAACGGGAAACCCTTCCCAGAAATATTCGCCTCGAGTTCACAATGTTTGTTGTGCTATGACCTTTCTGCCGTAGGCCGAGGATAAGATGTAACATAGAAGAAAAATATCCTGTAATCGTTGCTAATCGTTGCAGTAGTTGAAATCAACATCAGATCGAAGATAGAACTTAATTCGAAATCAAAAACAGGATTGTGAGTTAATTTTTCAGTCACGTCTAGTTGCGCTGCAAATAGGATAGCCCACATTGAAAAATACATATACCTTCAGAAGCGTTGTTTATTATATTATATTCGGATGTGAGCTCGCTCAGCCCTTTATATCATTAACAGCCTGTGTAAATTGGCACGGTTAACGTCTAAATCTTCATTGTATTCGAAGGTTTTGCCGGCAGCGCGCTCCGTCAGTTTCGATCAAGTTCGATTTTCCCCAACACAACACGGAAGTCTGATTACAATAAAATGCCAGCTCCGATCGTCGGTTGTTCCAAGTGTATGAGACACCATATAGGCAAATCTAGATCCCAGGCCAGATTCGATAACTATGCAAAGCAAGGAAAGTTTATGAATGCCAACAAAATACTTTTTCTTGGCGTCATTTGATACATGGCCTTTGTACGACACTATAAAAAATCGAAGACTGCCTTTGATATTTTCTGTATTCAAGATTACACCCCAGTAGTGACATCGTTCACGAGTATTTTCTACCCCACCCTGTTGCCACTTGCTACCTTGATGCCTTGTAGGCAGAAAAATACATTAAACAAATAGGATATGGTAACATACACACGAATGGCACAAGATCTTAATTGTGAAGAGTCGTACACGTATTTCATCCTCTAAACACTAAAGATTGAAATCAAACCTTATATTTCTACCACTTTCTCTGTCTACCACTTTCTCCGTCTATTATGCAAAGGAGATGATAACCAGTGCTAGTTGTATCACAATAATAAGTAAATATATCTTCATTGTTTCTCAGAAAGCGCAGTTGAAGAGGTGTTTTCAGTTTAAATGTATTCAAATATGAAATATCCTTGCATTTCTGTGCAATTAGTCTGAAACAGTGAAACAGTGAAACGACCTCGGGCTAAAATTAGGTTTGACTCCATATTCACTATATTTGTTGGACGACCAAACAGAAACAAATTTACAAATAAGAAGAGTATTATCATCGTCATGGGCCTGTTACTTGTAACTATCGTATGCTGGCCACCACCCAGTCCGTCCGTATATGGCGATTGGCTTATTTTTATAAATAAATAAATGTATTCCTAATTATGTACATTGTGATTGTACCGAGGGGTTTTTTTGTAGTATCCAAAATTCAAATTAATAACAATCGGCATTTTTAATACTGATTAATTACTAATTAGATATACAAAATGCCAATACCACTAAAAAATGTTTCGGCCATTTCTGGCCTGGCCCAGTCCCACCAGGCCACCACCCATGACCCAACCCCTTTGGCCTGGAGGCTGGGAGGCTGGGAGTCTGGGACTATTTATCCGACTAAAAGAGTTACTTGCTCTCTACCTTTTTTTCGACTCAAGCCTTTCCCTCTACTCTCTCACTCTCGTCTCTCTCTGACTTTCTCTCTCTCTCTCTCAGTGTGTCACACTATGTGTGTCCTCTAGACTTCTGGACTCTGGACTCTCTAGTCTGGACTCTGGACCGGAGGCCTGGACTTTGGCTGTTTGGCAGACTGGCTGTAGTGTTTTCACTCTTGTTTTCAAATATATTTTTGTATTTCGAAAAAGTGCAGGCCAATATTGAATATTTGAGTCCTAATTGTGCAAATATCAAACTTTTTGCTGAATTACAACCTATCGGGAATGGAATGATGACTGTGAGAGCGAGCAGGCTCAAGGCTATGATGAGTTAATGGTCCGGTCATCGACTCATCGAGTCATCGGCACTTATTTATATTTTTGGGTGAGAGGCTAATGAGAGTTGCAGTCCCATTTTTCAATAAGCAATCTCTGCCGGGTAGCGCCTATCGACTATGTCCGCTGGTCGTTTCATGATGTCCAGAGTGCCTGTTCGACACTTACACATAGTTGGGGCCATTTGGAGCCTTTTTGGAAGACTAACTAATTTCCAATTGCGTCACAGGTGGCGTTACCGATTAATTAAAAAACATAGCAGCTCTGAATACATCTGACAACTTATGCTTTTGTCCTTTACAATTAAGAGAAGTAGTCCTGTGTATAAGAATAGGTTCAGTTGTTCTCGTGTAATATTTGTTGCAAGCTACTTTCTTTGTGGATATTGTGATTGATTCATTGAATAATAGTCTCGCTACGTAACGATAGTAGCCTCGCTACGTGAAGTTAATAGTTCCGCTACGTGAAGATGCCAGGCAATATAGACCAATTACTTCTCGTCTATGACGATATACAAGGTATGCATCCTGGGTAGAGGAGTCCTATTTGACTGATCGATGACATCTAGTTTGGATGCTTCGGCATTGTATGCCACAAATCAATTAATGATTCCTAGACAGGATACCCTACAATTATCTGCTATACTTATTCAGTATGTATTGAGAAAGTGCACGCATGGTTAATCGTATAAATTGAGTCCAGCCTTTCAATTCAGAATTGTTCATATAAGCGGCCTATCAAAACCGATACAAAGCCTAGCTATATATGTTTTTCTACAGTTGAATAAAAATAAGATATCATAGTTGTATGCGAATATATATATATATATCTATATATCTATATATATATATATATATTTATATATATATTTATATATTTATATATATCTCTGTTTCTATGTATGTATGTATGTGTGTATGAGTGTATGAAAGTATGTATGTATATATGTACTTTTCTATGTCTATATGTGGATGTATGTGGGTGCGTATGCGTGTGTGTGCATGTGCGTTTTATATATATATATATTATGTATGTATGTATGTATGTATGTATGTATGTATGTATGTATGTTATATATTTATATATATATATATATATGTATGTATATATTAATTGATCCGTGTTTGTGTTTTTGCGTATTTACTTATGCATATATATCTATATATATATCTGTGTGTGTGTGTGTGTCTGTGTCTGTGTCTGTCTATGTCTATGTCTATGTCTATGTCCGTTTCCATACCTTTTTTCTAGCCGTGTCATCGCCCTAAAGTGGTCAATCACGTACATATATTCATGCACGCACATCCACTGCACACACATGAGCGTATTGTACAAATACTCTCATTCACACCACTATCTTCTCACGTGTCGAGTATCTCACATTTTTTTTCTCTGTAGATGCCGATGATGCAGCCGCCGTGAACAAAGATGAAATGGATTCAAATCTATCCTTAACAAGAAGCAAGTCCAACCAGTCGCTGAGCGTACACCAGTATCTTCATCACCCCAGCCATCAAATGGAGCACAAGCACACCATACTCCGCTCCGTGAGTCAGACGGATTTAATTGCCCCAGCGCTACGTACAAACACCCCCCCGGTCAATGTACAGGCAACCGCCAACGGGACTGTATTTAACGGTACACGGAGTAACCCTAGTTCTGGTAGCAGCTCCAGCGCACTGCCTACGCCGACGGGGCGCAAGCACGCCGGCTCAAATATGAGTTCCGGTGGATATAACAGGGGTTCTGTACCCGGCCCAACTGTCTTGACTTCGGGGCAGAAGGACAAACGGTACCATTTTGGGTCATACCAAAAGCAGCATTCTCAGACAAGTATCAATTTGAGGAAGCCCGTGGTAACCACAGAGCATCCACCTCATCCGGCCAGGTATGTACATGATGTGCACATTCTTCGTACGCTTCGGCTGTGTCGTACACGTGTTCGGTATATCGTATCTGTATTTACAATGCCGAGAACACGGTTAGAAGTATATATATATATTTATATTTGTATTTATTTATATGTATATATATATATATATATATATATATACATATATATATATAATTTATTTATTTATTTATTTATTTATTATTTACTTATATATATATATATATATATTTATATATATATATATGTATGTATGTATGTATGTATGTATATATATATATGTATATATATATATATATATATATTAAGGGCTGTTCAGAGTCAGTGGTTGCGCATTTGCGACGAGTACGCGTCTCCTCGTGCATGGGCTAAGGCATACAAAATTGCCCTACTTTGAATGATTCGATAAATTGCGACAGACACGCGTCTTCTAGTTCACCATATATACTATACTGGCTTACAAAACCACCCATATACCGTATATCGAAAACTTCGATATTTTGCGACAGGCCGGCATCTCCTAATTTGCGTCAAAGAGGGGGAATGTCACCTTCGCCATCCACAAGTCGGCTGTCGCAGTTTGAGGCAATGGAAGGAGAATTGGAAGACCTGGACTTAGGTGATACGGCGCATAGGTCGGATGTACCCGCGACCATAACTATTGCACCTCACCACACGGTAAGTGGACTCAAATTGTCCTACTTATATATGGTCGTTGGGCTCAGCTCACAACGTACTCTCTTGATGTGCGGGGTATGGGCCCAAATACACCTGTGGTACACCCAATAGTGCAATCAAGGGTTTTATACTGCCCTTTTGCGTATCCCATGCATGCTCTGCTGCTCCATAGCACGCAGGTACAGGATCACAGGTGTACCCTACTCAAGTGCAACCAGCACCACCCCAATACACAACACGGCAAATCCACCCAGGATATTCGTAAGTGCGAAGACACTATATTCTTTCTGAACCCTGGCTAAGTGTCTCCAAGATTGCGTTGTATCTACGCATGCATCCATGCCAGTGGTAAATTATTAAGTTTAGATTCACTGGTAGAAGGCCAAGTGTCTTCAAGAATGGTTTTTATCCGTGCCAGTGGTAGACGATTAAGTTTCGATGCACGTATAGACGGCTTCATTGCCGATGCGTAATACTAGCCTAGAGGGGCTGTGTCCATACGAGCTATTCAGTCGAATGTCAAATATCAACAGTCAGCTTAGCAATGCGGTGGTAGGACTCATGACTGCCCCGTCATGTCTACACTCTCTTTTTGTTTTTTGTTTTTGTTTTGTTTTTTTAGGTTGGCGAGTATCTGTGTATGCGAATGAGATGATAGTTTGCGGTAGTGTATAAAGGCATGTATGTTGCTGGATTGTAAAGATAGTGCACAGGTTCACAGTATGGCTATCAGTACAACACCAGCCCTATTGTGTCTTTGGTCGTTGCACCCATATTGAACCTCATACACTGAAGTGGGGCTCTAAGTGTCCTGAAGACCGCTGTGGGCATAGGTAGTTTAATATTCATGGAGTCCTTTACACTGACAAACACGCCATTTGAACTATGTACCTGCATACACACCATATGATCTATATACTTACACACACACCATATGTATATGCATACAAACACACCATATGATATCATTGCACCCATACTATATTAAAGCTCATTGAAGCCTCTCCCGGTCCCATTCACAGCCACCCTCAAGACCAGTAGACGGCATATCAACCATAGTCACCCCGCCCCGATCCCCGCCTCGGAAAAAGTCCAGCACTCACTCACCTTTAAATACACCCGACCATCGGACAAGTGACAGCTCAACGAAGACTAGAGGTTCGATTCAATCGACACATAACAATACGCCAGCGGCGGAGATAACCAAAGAGGTCTCGCGAAGGTATGAGTGTGGGTGGGTGGGGAGGGGGCATGTGTCTGCGATTTTATGTGCGCGTGTCTGTGTGTGTGTGTGAATGCATGAATTATATGCGTGTTTATACGCGTGGACGTGTATGTATGTGTGGGGGGGGGGATGCTCATATTATATGCGTGTTTATATGCGTGCGCGTAGATCTATGTGTGTGTGCATGTGCGAATTTTTAAATTGTGTGCGTGTTTATATGCGTGTGCGAGTTTATATGCATGTGTGTGCATGTGTGAATGCATGAATTGTGTGTGTGTGTGGGAACGCTTATATTGTATGCGTGTTTGTATTCGTGCGCGTAGATCTATGCTTGTGTGTGGGAAAATGCATGAATTGTGTGCGTGTTTATACGCATAGGTGTATATCTGTGTGTGTTAGGGTAATGCATTCTTTTATTCCCTTTATTCGATGTCCCAACATGCGTACTTGTGCGTTTGTGTGTTTATTTGTAACATGCTGGTAACCTTCAAGTCAATATACCTTTTTGGTTATCCAAGCGATCGCGGGGCGTTCTTTTTTCTCTCCATTGCAATACTATATTTGTTTTGTTTTTCGGATTAATCCACGCAAGAGTGCATATATCGTGCTAGTTAATCTTATAGTGTATTGTAATGTGCGTATTTGCTAACATTACCTATCCCGTTAGGGCTTTCTCGCATGGTGAAGCCGCATACATGTCCGTTTAATTATACAGAGCTATTTCTGTTTATTTGTGATTGATGAAGTTAGGATATGTGTATACATAATATTATTTATTTTATAAGTTGTTTTTGGTAACCTTTCCGTGGCAGTACAAGCCAACAGTAGTATCCATGAGTCCGAAAAACATGTTTTGTCTATATCTGCCAGGTCCTGAGCGTCATATGTACCACCCTCCCTATGTGTGTTTTATGTGCGTATTGTGTGTGTATAATGTACATGTATATTTATTATGTATATGTATAAATAATCTATATATATATATATATATGTATATGTATGTATGTATGCATGTATATGGATATGTATATATTTTGCGTGCACATACATATAAACCGCAAAAGTTACGATGAGATCTTGTCAAGTCTACCGCTGTGAATCTGTATCTGCGCATACAATCCTACACCACGCGATACTGATGAGAATGTATTCTGATCCCCCTTTGTCAAAGGATGATCCGTTTACTTAGCCCATGCGACGCTGTCAAGCCTTCATATGGCTTCGCGATACAACGGCACGGACAACATATATATATTATCTGCGCACAGAAGGGTACTCCCGCCTCGGAGGTGTGTGTGTGTATACTTATTGGCTTATATAGACATTT